AAGGATGGCCCCCTCAGGAATGGGAGTAGAGCCGTTAAGAGAGTCCTGAGGGAGGCTGTTTGCCCCTTCCCTCTGCCCCACGTGAGGACGTACAATAGATGCTATCATTGGGGCACAGTCCCTCATCGAGGTATTTACTCTTCTGATGCCTTGATCTGGGACTTCCCAGCCTCCAGAACTGTAAGCCATGTATGTCTGTTGTTTATGAATCACTCAGTTGAAGGCATTTTGTTATGGTAGCTGAAAACACTAAGATGAAGGCCTCATGCCCAGGTTTAAAGGTTCCTGGAGCCTACACTGTGTCCAATATGCCTTGCTGCCTCTGAGCAGTGCCTCTCATTCGAGTGCTTGACTGTGCTTGACTGTGAAATACACAGTGCAGGAAACAGTGCATGAATGAGAGTGGGGTGTGTGAGTCTTTTAGCTCTGGCATATCCAGACAGCCAGCATCCTCAGCCTCAAGTGGCTCCCCAAGGCTAAAACTCAACAACAGACAGTGAAGACTGGAGCATGGAGCCAGGAACAATATAGCTGATAATGCTTTTAAGAGGTTCCTGTGATACAGCATAGTCCATTCATAAAAAGCTCTTAGGAGATTTTCCTGTGGAGCGAAAACACAGAATTGTTTACTCAAAATTTAAAAGACAGTAAACAAGTCCACCGTGGCAGCAACTCCTGGGAACACAACAGGCTGGGACAGAGGGTGGCCGAGCAGAACAGAGCAGCCGGTAAGATAATAACCACTCAGGAAGCTCCTTTCCTGATTATTCACTAATAAAAGACCCATTGTTAAAATAAGCAAGGGACTTAATTCACCAGGGACCAGATAAAGAACACTGAAAGATGAAACAGATGACTCTTAAACTGTGAGAGCCCCTGTGTTGGGTTCTTCTGGCTGTCATCACAGACACAGATTAAGAGGCTCCCTCCTGTCCAGCCACATCAAAATCTCTACTGCTGTGGCCCGGAATAGGCGTTCCACACCAGCTCCTTGCACTCAATGTTGAAGACCCCTGGCTTAAGGGACGAACAATGACACCACAAATTTGTAGTGCAACCACACCCATGATTTGTGGACAATGCCAAGCAGCAATGCCTCACCCAGCTTCTCAAAATACCTTAGTGAAAGAGTAATGGGACCAGCAGATGGCATGGTGGTTATGTGACTGGACTTTCACATGGTTGACCGCGGTTCGAGTCCCAGACCTAGTGACTTAAAAATCACAGCAGGCACATGTACCTCCTGATACAATGCACTGAGAAAGACGTGGTGTCCTTTCTCTGCCTAAATGTAAAACCCAAATCTAATGATATGATCCATCAGAGGAACCCCCAACTGATAGACTTTCCATAAAACAGTGGTGTATCCCAGAAAATATCAAAGGCACAAGAGACAGAGAAAGACGGGTGAGGGGCAGCAGGCAGCGTGGTGGTGAAGGCACTGGACCCCACATCCCAGCTCTGCAGTTTGGCTTCCAGATCCAGCAGCCTGAAAAGCACACTGGAAGCATGTGCGTGCATGCCCGAAATCTCAGGAGCAGAATGGAGGAGAAGAGATTGTGGTGTGTTTGCGTGGCCATCCCCCTGAAAAGTGATTTTTCACTTCCCCTGTCTCTCTGTCTCTATCTGTCTCTTTGGTGAGTGCACATGCCCTATGGCAAAAAACAGACAGACAGACAGACAGACAGAGGAACTACCGAATTGTGGAGACCGAAGACACCCGACAATAAACACAGCACATGGCCCTGGAGGAGGTACCAGCTGTGCAGAAGACCTCAGTGGGACGACATGGACGTGAGTATCGACTGTGGATGTGAATTCCATGACCGTGGCAGCGTTCCGGTTCCTAGGCTTTACAAATGTAATGGGTATGTAAGTGAATGATTTTACTCTTAGGAAACACACACCGAGGAATTGGAGGAAAAGGGAGATGGTACCCCGAATCTCCCTCAAATGGTCCAATAAAGTGTAGGCATAGAGCAGCTCAGTGTACTACTCTTACAAGTTCTCTGTGTCTGAAATTGTACCTGCTCTCCAAAACCATCAGGTCATGAAAAACAAGGAAAGACAGAAAATGTCAAAGATTGGAGGAGGCTGAAGAAACATGGCAACTGAGTACAATGCAGTCGGGTTCCTGGATTGGATCCTGGAGCAGAAAGTGGACATTAGTGGGAAAACAAAGCTGGTTCTAGTTAATGTAGTGCACCAGAGTCAATTTCTCATTATTATTATTATTATTATTTTGGAGAGATTTTTGCTATAGGGTGCGTGCGCTCGCCAGACAGACAGAGAGAGACAGAGAGACAGAAAGCAAGAAATCCCCCCCCCCCCCCCAGGGGGGATGACCACGCCGCAATCCTTTCTCCTCCATTCTCCTCTCGGGATCTTGGGCACGCATGCACATGTGCCCGGCGTGAGTCTTAAGCCACCGGGTCCGGGACGCGAACTACAGTTGACTACGTGGGAGTCCAGCGACATAGCCATTACGCTAACTGCTGGTTCCCTCAATTTCTTATTTTTGACAAATACGCAAAAATCACGGTAAGCTGTCAACATTAGGGAACACTGGGAGAAGGGTACAAACCTAAGGGCATACAATCTCTGCAAATTTTTGTAACTCTAAAATTATTCCAAAATAAAAAAATTTGTTTTTTTTGTATGTTTGTTTGTTTGTTTGGTATTGCATGATAGTGCATGTGCTCTCCAGAGAGAGAGAGAAAGAGCGAGAGGAAGCAAGCCCCCCATAAAGAATGGAGCATGGTCACGCGACCATCCTTTCCCCTCCACTTCTCCACCCATCAGGATGTCGAGCATGCGCACACATTCATGTTCCTCTAGCCGCTGGGCAGGGGCTCGCATCACAGCCAGCCCTGTGACCCCGCTCCGCATGTACAGTGCTTACCTGCTGACCTACTAGGTTTTATTTTTTTTTAGAGGTTTTTGCCTCAGGATGTGTGCACTTACCAGAGAGAGACAGAGACAGTGAGAGGGAAAGTGAGGTATCATTCCCATCCCCCAGAGTGGACGGCCATGTTACAATCCCTTCTCCTCCATTCTCCTCCCAGGATCTTGGGCATGTATACACACATGCCCAGTGTGAGTTTCAAGGCATCAGGTCTGAGACTCGAACCACTGTCAGCCATGTGGGAGCCCAGAGACATTATTGCTATGCCATCTGGTGGCCCTGACCTACCAGGATTTTAATTATTAAAACACACACACACAGCAAAGGCCAAGAGCACAACAGTGACTCCCCAAGTTCCCAGGAATGTATACTGAAAGGTGCTGTCTTAAAGCAGAGGTTCCCAAACTCTACCAACCATGGCAGAGTCAAAATCAAACAGTTTACCAGAACCACTAAGTTAGACTCCTTTGAGATGCAGCCGCTGAGAACATTTACATGAACAAGTGCCCCCAGTGATTCTGATGCGCACCCAGGCTGGGGCGCCAACTAGGTCAGCATTTCTCAGACTTAACTGTGCACAGGGATCCCCTGGGGATCTTGCTAAAAGGCAGATTCTGCATCGGAGGTCTGGGATAAGTTCTAAGTCTCTGCATTTCTCAGGAGCTCTCAGGGGATGGCCAAGCATCTGGTCCTCAGCTCCATGTGCTGAGAACAGCCAAGCAACAGGACAGAGGAGCCCAGCCCTGTACTAGGAGTGTCACAGGGGCTCGCCCTGCCACGCACGTGTGAGAGCCCACCTGCTCTATCTTTGCAGCTGCTCTTCTTAGGTTGTGTCAAACCAACTCCTAACTACATTTAGCAGCACCAAGTGCCCTCAGATGGCTTTTAAGGTAAAATGTGACTAGTTTCTCAAACCACATATGAAAAGGATAAGTTTCTGTGGCCTGACCTGAGTGTACACGAAGCTGCTAGGCAACTCTTCTTCTGCTTGCATGGGTTGCTTCTAGAGTCATGAAAAAACTACCTAAGTGAGCACTGAAAATGGTGATTTGCAGTCTGGTGACACTTTTTGGACTACAATCCCAAATATGTACCCTTTATATGTTTACATTGAAGTCTGACTTCAACGAAGACTGGTTTGACCTGTAACATTCATTATTCCTCTGTATCCATGCAATGCCAGAAACTCTTACAATGGTCTTCCAGCACACAATGTCTAATCAAGGAAAAAAATTGTAAATCATAAAACAGTATCAGAAACATGAACAGGGTCGGCGTTGCCATGGTATTCTAGTTTTGTGTGTGTAGGAAACCGTGTAGAATCCCAGACAAGCTTCATGAAACCAATCAGTGTATCTCAGGTTGCAACCCTTGGTCCTGACGCTGTTTGTGCCAGGATGCCTAGAACAAAATGTGAAGACAGAACCTTCCTGCGATAACTTATAATCAGACAGTGAGTGAGAATCACGCCACAGGACTGCTGAGATCCGAGCCGAAGGACGCCTTTGGAGGTAAAAACCATTTTTATAAAGCTTCTTGATATTTCCTCATTCAATAAGTACTTGCTGAGTATGTACCTTGTACCAGGCAACATGCTAGACACGGAGCGAATACTGTAGGAATGAAGTTGTAGTGGGCAGACTCCAAGCCTCAGTGCCTCTGTGCTAACCTCCTTAGTGTGACACGGAACCGACACATTTGGCGACTGCTTCTGATACGAAGGCTGGAGGAAGCATGATGGAAAGGTACACTTTGTGCTAAAACAACCCGCACGCCTTCACCAGGGCGGCCAGGCAGCTGGCCTAGGACAGCCTCCTCTGTGTCAGCACCCACGGTCCAATCCGGGCCCTCCCGCCTCCCTCGGAGCTTCAGATACAAACCCCGCATTGACACAACCCCCGTAGATGTTGGAAGAGCATAGAAACCCCTTCAGGGCAGCCCCTGTAGAAGAGAAAACAGACTAAACTATGACTGCACAGATTTTTCAGCAGAGCCAGAGAGCGAAAGGGGGAAAAGAGACCATCCGAAGTCAAGGGAAAGCCCAGCGTAAAAGAGAACTAAAAATAGCCATGCAAACGCGGTCCCGTTTACTAACCTGATCAATTTCCATGAGTTTGGGGTAGGCGCCCGGCCATTCTATGGCCACCTTGACGATGTCCGCGGGGGGCGGCATGGTAAGCCCAGGCCTTCGGAGACCGGTGGAGTGAGACCCTAGGCGCAGAGGGCTGCACGTGTCCAACCTAGTGGGGAACGGCAGAAAGAAAGAGAAGTCGCTCGGTGTAGATGCAGGGCGAATTCTGCTTCATCACTTCCTGTTTTCACTGGTGAGCGAGGTACAAAAAACGGCTCCTTCTGGCGCCTGAGTGCTGAAGATGCAGGGGTGCAGCCAACTGCAGCACCCTGCTCCCCAGGAAGAAAGGGGGGCGCTGCCCACACCAGGAGACCTCCAGGGGCACAGATCGCAGAGACCTCCATGAAGTGAAGCTGCCCCTTACCACCAGGCTCTGCTCCACCGGGAGTCCGGGGTCCGGGCCGCCGGCTAGCTCCGTCCAGACCTGCACGCAAACGCCTGGCGCGCTCGGCTCCGGAAGGAGATTGCCCAGGAAGTCATGGTCAGGAAGCAGCTTTTCTTCAGTGCTCTCTGTGTGTCACAAATAGACCTCCGCACTATAGCAACCAGGATATCATGAGGAAGGAGAAATGCCCCGGGTTCACACGCAGGCACACGCACTCCCTCCCCGGGCCCAGCCAGCCACGGCCTTCCAGGGGAGAGAACGGACACCCAGGGGAGGGCGGCGCTGGGAACAGACCTGAATCGGTTTGTATGAACAGCGACGTTTACGTGGAGGAAGTAACGGTGAATGATCCCTCCTTCCCCAGGCCAGCCCCTACCTGTTTTCACTTGTTTTTGTTACAGTCACGACTCGTGTGTGTGTGTGTGTGTGTGTGTGTGTGTGTGTGTGTGTGTGTAGTCTCCCTTCTCCCGATGTCATACCCTCTCGATGTCCATTTGTACCCGGATCTCTCCAGTTACCGAAAGTTGTTTCTTCTGTATCCTTCCAGAATCTCCTCGTGTGGGGAAGGCTAACTCAGAAGTACACTTCCCTGTAATCTGCCCAAAGGCGCAGCGTCTGCCTCTCGCCCGCTCGGCTCTGGCACCGGCTCTCCTCCCCGCTGCGCTGCACGGTCCATCCCCAGGCTCTGTGTCTTACTGGGAACCATTCTCAGCTGTGTGCCCTGTGGGCCATTCCTGTCTTTCGTTATCAACAGGACTGTGTTGCATAAACTTACACATACACAGTTTTATACACAGCAAGTACATGCTTATGACAGATTTGCACAGGTAAAACTGCAGGGTCAAAGCATGGATGTAGTTTTACATTTGAATAGCCACTTCCAAACAATTTTTTTCTGAGTCAGCCCGCGTGTGTGTGTGTGTGTGTGTGTGTGTGTGTGTGTGTGTGTGTGTGTGTAGTCTCCCTTCTCCCGATGTCATACCCTCTCGATGTCCATTTGTACCCGGATCTCTCCAGTTACCGAAAGTTGTTTCTTCTGTATCCTTCCAGAATCTCCTCGTGTGGGGAAGGCTAACTCAGAAGTACACTTCCCTGTAATCTGCCCAAAGGCGCAGCGTCTGCCTCTCGCCCGCTCGGCTCTGGCACCGGCTCTCCTCCCCGCTGCGCTGCACGGTCCATCCCCAGGCTCTGTGTCTTACTGGGAACCATTCTCAGCTGTGTGCCCTGTGGGCCATTCCTGTCTTTCGTTATCAACAGGACTGTGTTGCATAAACTTACACATACACAGTTTTATACACAGCAAGTACATGCTTATGACAGATTTGCACAGGTAAAACTGCAGGGTCAAAGCATGGATGTAGTTTTACATTTGAATAGCCACTTCCAAACAACCAGTACTGGAGTTGGGCGACTTACACTCCCTCTCCCAGTGTAGGAAGTTGCCTCTTTCTACAGTCTCAACAATGCACTGGATGTCTGCAGGCCCGATGAGCTCAACAAAGTATCTCAGCACACTCTGAGCTTATGCTTATTGTGGATAAGGTGGGACTAAAGATGTGAAATGCCCAGATCTCTGCCCCTCTCCTGCTGGGTTCTCGAGCCTTTTCAGCAAGTGACTGCCACGTGAGGATTTTAACCAAGCCTGTGCACTTGGCTCTTGGTAGACCAGGGTACACCTAGTCCGTCCCTCCCCAGGCCTTGGTGGCAGCTGGACATTCCAGAGGAGACGAGAGTGAACCCTGGAAGCCCCCACAGCATGGGCAGCTGTGTAAGTAACTGATGTTGCGGATCTGACAACACTGCTGTGCCCGTGACCAGGGTGACTGGGGACGCTGCCGCGAAGCTCATCAGCAGTAACCAGCAAGAGCACCCCACAGAGCAGCAGCCTAGCCGCTCACTGACCGGCCATTACCCAGGCTCCGCTCTGTGTCGGGCTGGTGTGCAAGCCAGGGACACGGCAGCAAACCTGGCCACCAGGAGGCAACGAGGGACGAGGGACGCCGAGAAGAATGAAGCAGGGAAGGACACTTGGAGTCTGCATGGGAGGGGCAGCACACGGTCTTCGACCGGGACTTAGGGAGAGCTCTCCGAGAAGGCGCATGGGAGCAAAGACCAGCCAGAGGCGAGGAAGTAACTCCTGCTGATGTCTGGAGGAGCGGCGAGAGCAGAGGTCCTGCGTGAGGAGCACGCCGGATAAACTCCTGAAGCGGGCGAGTTCCTGGAGCCACGTGAGGGGAGCACACAACAGAAGCTCCAAGAGTCGCCGGGCCACACCGGGTGGGCTCACTCACCATCCCCCCACACACCTGGACACTCGGGCCACACCTCTGGGTTTGTGCCTCCCGAAGAAAGGGGTTCATAGTCACATGCATCTGTTCAGAGCATAAACTACAACTTTTCAGAAAGCCTTCACAATGTGCGTTCTCAGTTTGCATTCTCTGAGTAATTTAAATTTACTAGGATTTTTATCCTCAAGCATTAGTTATGAACTTATCCATTCCAATGTCACTTGTTGTTTTGTTTATAATTTGCAAGACTTGAAAACAATGGACTATGCAACAATAGGACAATGTTAGGTAATTATAGTGTCTCATGTACGAAGACCAGCAGACAGTCTATACCCGGGACTTCCTCTTCATGGTCTCACCCTCTCTGAATATTTAGAAATTCTAAGAACAGTGTTTTGTATCTGTACCACATCGCTCCAATTCGGGATCCAAGTTCAATTATACACGCTCAGATAAGAATTTAAAAAGTGGCCTCTAATGCCAAAAACAGACTCGTGAATATCAGGTTACACTATTGGAAGTCAAGAACAAACAACCTTGGGATCGGGAGAACAGATAATAGGCATAAGAGTGCATTCCGAGCACCCTCTCCCCACAGTCCGGAGCGGACATCAAGAGAGATCATCTAACCTTCTAGGGACCAAACGCCACGCTTGGTTCTCTACCCTTAGGCTGGCATTTATTTCTCAAAGACTGTTCAGGGGAACCTGTTGAACAGGTGGGAATACAATACGGCGGCTCTTCTCTGAGCCCCCTGTGCAGAGGGAAAGGGGAGTGTGTACAAAGCAGACACTGGGAGAGCCGAGAAGCAAGGCTTCCCCTGGGGTGGTCACTCGTCCAAGCCCAACCAGACCTTGTCAGTTCTCCTCACACTGACAGACAGCAAGACCCAGGAGTAGCAGTGTTCCCTGGCGTGGAGGGGACGCCCATTGCAGATCAGCTCATCTGGCCTGTATTCCATCCTCTGGAATATGCATATCCCCGAGGGAATGTTGGCTCCAAAGGTGTCTATGTACGGTCACTGTGGCTCCTGATGAAATTCAGGGGAGGAGGGTTCTAGCTCAGGCTTCTCATCCTTGGCATGGTCCACAGTGGGGGCATTATTCCTCATTGCGGGGGCTGTCCTGTGTCTTGCAGAACGGCTGCCATCCTCACTCCCTAGAGACCAGCAGCACCCCTCCATTACAGCCATCAAAACTATTTCCAGACATGCCAAATGTCCTCTGAGGGGCAAATCTCTGTGGCTGAGAGGTTGTGAGCTTACAAATCCTCTAGGCGGATTGGAGATTGGGACCACCACCCTTTATCCTTGACCTTGAAACAAGGCAAGTGGTCTCATGGGACTCTCCAGGAAATACCTACACTCAGGGCCAGCTCGTGGTCAGGCGTAACAGGGAATAGTTGAAAGCCTTCAGCCCACAGGCTGATATCCTAGGGTCCTCTGCTTGCCTAGCACAGCCCTAGTGGTCGCCTTCTTCTTGCTGAACTTGGAGCACATCAAAGGCAACCGCCACATCCCATGCACAGTTACCCAGGCCCCAGAAGCACGCCAACACGGCTGTTGGATGAGTGTCATATCCCATCCACGACTAACATCTCATTACAACTATCAGCTGTAACACGAATCTAGGGGAAAAAACACCAAGCAGATACCCAGCATTACTTAAATTACGCAGTAAATATGAGCTAAAAGAACTTGTGTAGACAGTCAGTTATAATCATTCTTGTACATACAGAAATTTAAGAACCACCGAAGGGAGAAAGATAAAGGAAGTCTATTCAGCTAGCTAGACACTCCAGCCATTATGTCTTCCAAGGTAATGGTTAAATCCCCAGGGCCAGCTAGGGAACAGGTAAAGAGTTCTAAAGTATTCTGGCTTGCCTGCTAGATTTACTTTGTCCCACGTTTAAGATTAAGGTTCTGTAACCTCATGTACATGTGGAATGACTCACTTATCGCTGAGTGAATTCCATGAGAGCGAGGGATGCTTTTAACTCAGTTACTTACAAAAGCCTGCAGGTTGTGGGACCAGCAGTTGGCGTAATAGCTATGTCGCTGGACTCCTACATGGTCGACGATGGTTCAAGTCCTGGACCAGTAGCTTAAACTCACGCCGGGTGCATGTGCATGCATCCCCAAGATCCGCAGAGAATGGAGGAGAAGGGACTGCAGTGTGGCCATCCCCCTTGGGGAGTGATTTCTCACTTTCTATCTCTCTGTCTCTGTATTTCTGGTGAGCGCATGCGCCCTATAGCAAAAACCTCTCCAAAACAAACAAACAAACAAACAAAAGCCTGCAGGTTGGTTACCTATGACTCTACAGCCCCCTGAGGAAGTCCACTCTTCTGCCAAGCGTCTCCCCAGCTTCGGGTCATGTTTCCAAGACAACAGAGAAAAATCACCCTTGATTCCCAGGCAAAGTCTGTGTCTGCAGATCCTTCTACACGCCTGTGTGTGTGCTGGAGGCTCACCTCACTGCAGTCTCGGAAAGGTCTGTGTTTCTCTGCCTGTTTCTTCAGGCAGCTTGATTAGGCCCTGGATTTCAGAAAGTTCCCACATACCTGATCAATTTGTTGTTGTTTTGAGTTCTCCTTATAGTTACCTAATTAGTTACCTAATAATTAGGAACCCTGAAATGGCTTTAAGCCCTTTCATCCTATTCCTGATCGTTCTGTTGCACAGCAAAGCCTATTGAGGAAACATGTAAAAACCAAGCCTATCAGGCCATTCCTGCAGAAGCTTATGCTGAGAAAATCAGCACCTACCCTGGTGAACTGTGTCACCCCCACCCCCACTGCAAGATAGAGCATGACAGGTGGGCGGGTGGGGGCCAGGACAGATCAA